AAAGAGAAAGCTCTACAGATGCAGAGCTGGCCTCTGAACAGTACATCTGATCTGACCGACAGCAGATGATGAAGTCTTTCCTTCACCACAGAACACATTCTGCAGAGTAAACTCACACTCTGCCTTCATCATCCTCATCCTCATCATCACACTAATGTCGCTGGATGAGGGCAGCAGATCCACAATAACTGAAGAGTTTGAGGATTCTCCAAGCTAAAAGAGCAGCTGCTGTTAATGTCAGCCTTCATCATTCAGCATCAGTGTGTCTGCAGAGCATCTGTGAATCAGTTTACTGGTAGCTTCCCTTATTTTCCTTACAACCAAACCTCCAGGAAAAATCCTTTACAAAACCGTTCCAGTATGACCTGAGGTGCCCTGTTCCTGGAACAGCTCTTATTTGCCTTTAGGTTTAGATGATGAAGGCAGTGTTAACCCGTGCTGCACTGGATGACGAGGAGCTGCAAATGAAAGTCCTTTAAGAGGCGTCAGCAGCAGTAGTGAAGACCCAACAGGAGCTCCAGGCTTAGCTAATTATCCAGAGTATAGTCAGAGTAAACGCTGAAGAGCTGAGCGCACCACCACAGCACTGCACACCGGCTATTGGAGAGTACAGGGGTATTCACATGTTGCTCTTCTATTCTAGATGATGTAAACTTGTTTAAATAAGATGGACTGAGTTAACATCATTTACCTGTGCTGAGAGGACTGTGTTATGGAGATGTTCATACTGTCATAATTACAGAATAATCAAAGCTTTAATCACCTCATTCTGGAAATTACACTCAGGATCAGATTCTGCATGGACGATGGGTTATTGAGACGGGTCTTTACAGCGCTTGTGTAATCCAGACAGTTTAACCTCCTTCCTCGCAGGGGTGTCAAACTCAATTCCTGGAGGGCTGAAGCTCTGCACAGTTTAGTTCCACCCCTGCTCCAACACACTGACCTGTAGGTTTCAAACAAGCCTGAAGGACTCAATTAGTTTGATCAGGTGTGTTTAATTAGAACTAAACTGTGCAGAGCTGCGGCCCTCCAGGAACTGAGTTTGACACCTGTGCTCTACAGTATTGATGAGGAGTTCAGATCTCCTAATGAGAGGAGTTTATTCCTCCAGACACAGCAGAGGAGCAGATCAGCAGAGGTCAGCGCACGCTCACCCTCATAACCCTCCTGGAACACTCTCAGGACAGACCATGGAGCACACCTGAACTCTGATCAGAGCCTCTCTCTGTTGATCATGAAGGAGCTCAGTGAATGAAGAAGATGATGATGAAGATCGCCCTCTGCAGGACAGAAGAGCACACGATAACTCAGTCATAGTGTGTGTGTGTGTTTGTGTGTTTGTGTTTGTGTGTGTG